GTTTGCTCCCGGGGCGCGAGTGCTGCGTGCCCGGTTCCTCATGCACAAAAGCCTGCATTGTCTTCAAAGAGGCCTTAAAGAACACAAGAAGCCGTTCTGCAATCAGACTGAACTGTACATCTCTTGTACTGGCCGTCAGATGTATATTGAATTGAAAGGATAGCATGCAAACCTACTATTTGTACTATTCTCTGCAGTTTATGTGTATTGTGTACAGTACCCTGCTGGAAAACAACAACAGAAACCATCACAGAATTTTTTTACTTGTTATAATGGGACTTAAAGGGGTCATATGATGTTATTTTAAAGATCATTATTTTGTGTATTTGGTGTAATAGAATATGTTGACATGCTTTAATGTTCAAAAAACACATTATTTTTCAAATACTGTACATTATTGTAGGTCATCTATGCCCTGCCTCTCTCAAACACGTAGTTTTCAAAAAAGCACCCTCCTTTGACAAACGCAGTCTGCTGATTGGCCAGCTGACCCAGTGCATTGTGATTGGCCGAACACCACAAGCACGTGTCGGAAATTTAACGCCCCTTACCATAATCGCGAGCGTCAGCTTTCAAAGTAAATATCAAGAATTAATAATGTTGTTAGTTTTACCATCAGTTCAAGCCCGAAAGGGCAACAGAGTCATGTGACAGACACAGTGATGATGCAGTACACAAGCCGCGGTTAAGACAGCTGACGTGCTATGATTTCTGACAGGCTGTTCACTCTCCTGTGATGTGACTTTGTTCCCCTCACACACACACACACACACGACGTGTTACTCTGCGCTGCGCAAAACTCTGCATTAGAACAGTCAATAGCAAATACTTAAACTAATAACAAAACATACTTACAGTCGCTGATTCAGAAGCGCCAGATTGTCATAGCAAAGTCGGAATTTACCCATTATTTTTTTTTTTTTTTAGAAATAGCCTTTGTGCACAGCCTGCCTTGTACTTTTCTAGGTTAAAAAAACTGTCGTCCATAAAATGCGTTGCACAAATTTGAACATCTGGGTTGTGCTGTTCTGTTGTAAATAAATCTTAACCAATGATTCTGAGTCTGAGATATAGTATCTCCCATCTCTATCAAATCTCAACATGCTCTCAAAACACTTCTGTGCTGATCACATTTGATCTTCCACTTTGGCTCTCACACACACAAACAACTGGAGCTTTGAGTTGATGAGTTTCTCCATTAGATAAAATGAACCGAAAGGGACGTTGATATGATCTAGGTCACATCCTTTCAGTTCAGTGATGTGACTTCTTGTTAAAAGCTATTATTCAGATTATAGCCATTTTAACATTATATAAAAAAGTGCGTCAACCTCCAGGAAATTACTTTGTGTCATATACTGTACTGTTGATTCATATCACTTCAGTACTTCATTGTGATTTTAAAGTCGATACAAGAATGCAAACCCTGTAGATTTATGTTCCAGCGCTTTCTTGAAAATCCCTGTGTTACTCTCTATGGGTAAAAAAAAAAAAAAAAACTGAATCTGAATCTGGTCAAATTTAATTTTAAAATAAAAATACAAATGCTGTATTCATTTTTTTGGAAATTAACATTATCCCCAGATGCATTTACTAATTCTCGTTATTACAACGATGTTTTAGTATTATGAAGTGAAGTGAAGTGAAGTGACATGTGGCCAAGTATGGTTACCCATACTAGGAATTCGTGCTCTGCATTTATCCCATCCTAAGTGCACACACACAGCAGTGAACACACACACACCGTGAACACACACCCGGAGCAGTGGGCAGCCATTTATGCTGCGGCGCCCGGGGAGCAGTTGGGGGTTCGGTGCCTTGCTCAAGGGCACTTCAGTCGTGGTATTGAAGGTGGGAGAGAGCGCTGTACATTCACTCCCCCCACCTACAATCCCTACCGGTACGAGACTCGAACCCGCAACCTTTGGATTACGAGTCCGACTCTCTAACCATTAGGCCACGACTTTATTTATATCCTATTATAGCATTTATTCATATTTTGAAATATCTTTCTAGTTTCAGTTTATTTTAATTTTAGTTAAAGTTTTAGTCATTTTATTTTGTGCTTTTGTCATTTTAAAATATTGTAACATATTTTTTAATATTATTTTTTATATTCATATTTAATTTAGCTTTGATTTATATTTATTTCAGTTTTGGTCAGTCATTTTGGTACTTCATCCCAAACTTATTTTAATTAATCTTGTTGCCAAGGCATTTCTAATTTTTCATCTAAGATTTATATTTTATTTTATTTCAGTAAATTCAATTATTGTTATTATTAAATACTCTTTACATTCTAAAGACTGTGCAACATGTTCTACAATGTATGATTACATTGTATACAAAGAGATGTATTCAAATTGCTGGAATGTGAAATGAGGGGGGAGAATGGGAAAAAAAAAGTTCTCCTCAGGCCAGTGGTCGCTGTCATTCATGTCAGCAGAAATCATCATATCTTAATAATGAATGAATTCTAGCTTTGTTGCTGAGAGTTTCAACGTCTTTTAAACTATACTAATCGACTTACCTGACAAAACAACTTCCACCAGGTCCCCTTCCTGGATGTCCGACACAGCCTTGACCAGCTGCAGGATGTTACTGCTGTTGGTGTCATGCTTGAAGAGGAGGATCTTGTCATAGATCCCATAAAAGCCACATTCAGGAAACTGGACAAAACAAAGAAAGAAAGAAACATCGATTAGCTTCATTTATGACCCATCTATACATATCCACTACACTCTGCTAATGTAATATTTCTCTTTTCCTGTTGTTAATAACTTTCACCGCATTACAGCAGCTCATTAGAACCACAGCATCCTTAGATTTTTGGCTCATGAACAAACATGGAGAATCCAACTTTGAGATGAGCTACTAAGATTGGTGGTCATCATGTTAATGAAGAGCCATCTGCAAGGGTTCCTGATGGTGGCACTTTTGCAGGTGTACCCACCAGGGATCTCCTCTCTTATTTGTGCAAGTGTTGCACGTCAAGGTGGGGCGGGGGTGTTCTTTGCTTCTGCCAGCTGCATTTTGAAGATTTCCTGTTGTTGCAGAGAAGAGCTTTTAATTTTCGTAGCTCTGATGTGTCGAGAGCTGCCATAAGACTTTTGAGCGGATTTAGAGGTTTTATGTTGTTTGTGTTGTTTTAGGATATCAAACTTTCTAAATTAAAAAGTTCAAAACAATTTGTAAACATAACACAAGTTACATAACCAGAAACTTCTCTTATGTCCAAAACAATCATTTATTGAAATGAATGATGCTGGAAAAAATGGTTAGGTACGATTTTTTTTTTTTTTTGACTTTTTAATGTCAGATTAATGCACACGGCAGCCCACATGTATGCCATCAATGCCTATTCAGTGTTCATAAACTTGGGTCGCTCAGTCAGTCATGTTGAAGTAATAAGGAGGCAGTAGGATAGATACTATTATTCATAAACATGAGAAGTAGTAGATCTTATTCCAGTAAGTATATAACTAACAATAACAAATATAGGCAAGCTTTGCCAAAGTTATGTTTTGCCATTACCTTTGCCATTAAACATTTGACTGATTTGGCCAGAAACGAAGATTATGTCATCATTTACTTACACTCTTGTTGTTCCAGACCTGTATGAGTGACTTTCTTCTGAGGAACACAAAACCAGTTATTTTGAAAAACTTAACTTTTTTAGTCCATACGATGAATATAAAAGGGGTCCAATGTTGTTTGGAGCCCAGTGACTTTCAAATGATCTTCTTATGTTCCACAGAAGAAAGAAAGTCATACATGTTTAAATGACATAGAGTGAGTAAATGAAGACAGAATTTTAATTTGGGGGTCAATAGGGTTGGGTATCGTTTGGGTTGTTTTCGGTACCGGTGCCAAATCGATACTTTTAAAACGGTTCCGGTGCCTGACCCGATACTTATTAAAAAATTAATAAATAAAAATTCCCCCAAAAATTATGAATTGGCCATTAGCACTATAAACACATGATGTCTGTTTCATACATACTGGATGCCAGAGGGCGCCCTTGCACAGAAAATCCACATATCCAGTCATAGAAGTACCGAATTCAGGAAATCCCTTATATGGACAAAGGCACTGCTATTATAGCTGTAAGTTAACTGAGTAAACAGAACATATAAACATTTTGAATGATAAAACAAAGACAATAAACACTTGACTGCGACAATATAGTTTATCTGTTTTATTAAAGCCATCTGGTATTTTCATAATGATTAAGTATATTTATAATCCATTGCTAATCGATGTATTTTT